GGGGGCTTCGGTGTAGATGACCCCCCCCCAGCTTGGCAGGGGCAAGGCCTGGTGCTTCCCTGGCAGGCTGGATGGTGCCCAGTGCTGGGCATGGGGCCGGGCTGGACCGTGCCAGGCGGGGGTGCTCCTCCCTCCCGACCCCCCAGCCCTGCCGGAGCCCCTCACTCCAGCCCCTGGGGGCCCCAGCACGGGCAGAGAGGGGTCGACCCCCCCCAGGCCCTGGCGAGGGGACTTCAGGACACAGCAAGGCATCCCAGGGGCTTGTGCTGAGCTCTGCTTCAGGCCCAGAGTCCTGCCCCCGCCTGGCACGTGACCCCAGCGGGTCATGAGGTCGCTGGAGCTGGTCACCCGGGACATGGGAAGCACACACATGTGCACCAGCCCCGGATGCACATATTCCCCCCCCACCCCACGTACACAAGTACCCCCCTGCAGTGGTCCAGCATGGTCCCCTCTGAAACCTGCCTGCTGTAATGTCCCCCTGCCGCCATTTTGAAGTGTGGGGACAATGATACATGAGATACTTCGGGCACTTTAAATAGAGTGGCTCTCGGAGCCACTAGTGCCCCCCCCCCCCCCCCCCCCCCCCCCCCCACTGCAGGGGAGACTGAGGCACAGAGAGAGTTGGCAGAGGGGCTTTTCCTTAAGGCTGCAAAGCTGGGGCAGGGAACCCAGGAGTCCAGGCCTCCAGTCCAGCTCTAGGCCCCCAGTGAACCACAGCCACAAGCACTGGGAGCTGCTGGGCCGAGCTGCTGGCTCGCTGGTGTGGTTCCCTTTGTGGGAGGGGAGGTGAGGGCCAGGACTCCTGGGTTCCCTCCACTAGGGCCTCAGTTTCCCCTAAGCCTCCACCCAGGAGCAGCTGGAGATATGCAAATGAATCTTAATTTAAGCAAATGAGATGCAGCCAGGGGCTCCCTGCCAGCACCCTGAGCCAAGCCCCAGGCCGGGCAGGGAAGGAGTTAATGCAGCGTGACCTCCTTCCCCTTTTGGGAGGCCAGAGGGGAACTGAGGCCACTGGACCAGGGGGCGAAGGGGGAGGGGGTATCCTGCTGTGCAAGAGATGCACGAATAGTGTGTCACGAATAGCGTGTCCTCAGCAGGGAAGGGGCAGGGGGGATCCAGGGGTGGAAGCGGGGACCCAGGCGGT